TGATAAAGGTCGGTAGGGGTTAGGGTAAATGATTTGGGGGTTTTCTAATTTTGGGGATTTGGAAGAAATTAATCGGTTTTATCTAACCAAATATAAATGGGTTAATTTGAGATTGAGTCCCTCAATTATCGTCAAGTTTGCACAATAGCCATTATATTTCAAAATCTTGTAATTTGACCCCTAAATTAGGATGTGACATTATTTACTATTAATTATTAAAATTAAATCAAAATAATATATTATATTATATATGGGTTAAGATCCACTTACATCCTTTGATTTCCCTCATTCAACGATTTTAAAAAATGAAAAACTTTTTAATTTTACACTATGTAATTTGATCCTATTACATCCATTTAGTTTGACACCTTTTAAAAACTGTTAGATAAGAGAAATCAAAAGTTGAGATTAATAGAAAGAAATTGGAAGATATTCATTGAAAAAAATAGTTAACCTAAGCTTTTGATTTCTCCTCATCTAACGTTCATAAAACTCTTAGTTTTACACTGTGTGTAAGTGGATCATAACTCATATATATATATATATATAGAGAAAAAATAATTATATTTATATAATCAAATTAACAAACTATTATATTTTATGTATATATCAACCATCACTACAAATATCATATACTTCTATATCTTAGATTATATCTTATATTTTCATATAAAATTGGTAAATATAAAATTGTCCCAACTAATTTAGTGGAAAATATGATATTAAATATTAACATTGATTAATAACTAGTCGGTCTAGTAGGATGAAGTATTAGATGTTTGGATTCTTTAAGTAAGGATAAAAGTTTAAATTCTAGTATTTGCGAATATAACAAATTATATTGAGAGGATCACCCCCCATGTAAAACTCAATTTTGAGCAATCGATCAAAAAATCAGATACTGATGGTTAAATCAAAAAAAATATATTAACATTAATTGGAAAGACGAATAAAATGGATGATAATAAAAAAAAAACTTTATTTTATGTTTGACCCTTGAATTTATACTCACCTTTTATAGTGGCATGTATTCGTTTTTAACCATTGATAACATACACAAAAATATAAATACTTAATCCATACTTTTTTAGAGAAAATAACAATTCTTTAAATCCTAATATCACTTGATGGGTGAGGCACATAGATATTTTTTATTCAACATATACCCTTAAACTTGTAATTTGTTATGCCCATTGACCCCATTTTTGTAACACAATTTTTTTTATAAACAACATTCTTTATCATACTATTGTTTATTTTATTTTAACCATCATATTTTTTTATATAGTTAGTTATTAATATAATATTTTTAGTACACAGATAATTAAATATTTAATGTATAAGATGACATTATCTTGTATAATAATAATAGTTTTAATTTTTAAATTTTGTATATTCTATAAACATAACCTATAGTATTTAATAAATCAATGATTTATTTTTTATTTTAATTTTAAATAATTTAATAATTTAAACCTGAAATAAAATAACAATATATATTACCATTTTATTAATAAGAATTAAAAAATAATTAAAATGAAAAGAAATCAAAATCAATTCCTAAGTACTAAGTAGGGTTCAACGCTTTCCTGCCTGGAAAATTGTAATTTATACATTTTAAATAAAACCAACATTTAAATTAAGATCCGGTTAAAATTGAAAGTTAAGTATATAAATAACTCTCAGATTATAAGACGACGCTATTTTATTGAGTTTATTTATTATTAAAAATTATAAAATAATTATGTGATACACAAATTTTTTTTATTGAATCCCTTAGTTATTAAAAGTTACAAAGTAATTAGTTAACTATTTATATGTTCCAAACTTATCATTTGTTGTTAAATAATTAACAACCATCTGAGTTAGAAGTTAACTTTACTACTTGGGATATAATAAAATCACATTTTAATAATTTCTATTGGGACAATCGTTGCCTTCAAACATAACTCGACAATATAATATTTTAATCACTAGTTTAACAACATAACATTTCAAGCATAAGCTTGATGGCGTAAAGTAAATGAAGAATCGATCCACAAAATATAATTCAAATAATTTTAGGATCAAATTTTATCCCATTCTATCAATAAATTAATGTCTAACTCAAACAAACATCAAATTTTAAATAGAAAAAGATAAATGTGAAACATATGAATGACCATGTGACTATTTTATAATTTTAAACATATAAATAATTTTGGCGTGTATAAAACAAACACACTACAGTTATAACCTAAAAATTAAAAAAATCTTTTTATAAGGTTTTTTTCGTGTAAGTTTACAACTTTTTATGTAGTTAAAAACTCAAAAATATTTATTTTATTTATTAATTTGTTACTTTGGAGTTTAAATGGAATGGAGGTGGTCGTGGTTGAAAAGGATTAAAAAAGAAAAACGGACAGAGGAAGAAAATAGAAGAAAAAGGAAGATAGAGTATGACTTGCCAATTATCATCATAATCTCAAAAAGCACGGGCCGAGTAAATATATCTCTTCTACAAAAGAATTCAAGATCGGACATTCCTCGTCATAAATCCTCGCAGATCTGCGCCGTCTTTCTGAATCCATCCAACATTTTTAATCTCTCGCTCCCTTGTTAGATCTTTGATGGATTTCATGAAGGTCTTCGATCAGACGGTCCGCGAAATGTAAGCTCTAACCCCCATTCCTCGAAATCTAGAATCTAAGTTTGATTTGTTACCGTTTCTCATCAAAGATCAGTTGATTTAAATGAAGTTTGTTTTCGTATTCCAGAAAGAGGGAAGTTAATCTAAAGGTATTGAAGGTTCCGGAGATCGAACAGAAGGTGAGATCAATTGCAATTTTATGTTTCCTTGAATGCTTGTTGCATGAAGAAATACGCTTATGATTTGATCCATTGTTATTAGACTCGTTACATTTTTTTTAAAGGAAAGAGTAAGATTACAGTTTGTTTTATGAAGTAAAGAATTGACACTGGTTGAGTGTAAAATATAAATGATTGTGAGAAATCAGAATATATTTACTGAAAGTACTGGATTCGTCTTTCAAACAGTGTTTTATGATATTATTGGAAGCTGAATTTGAAATCAGTTATTACTTGCTAGGATATTGCTTTTGATTCAGCTGAAAGACATCATATGTAACTTACGTTAATATTGGATTATAAGTTCGTAAGTTGGTGCTTAAATTCTTTCATCAAGTTTAGGGTGTGATTAGCGGTGCAAAATGAATTGCCCTTTTAGTTGTATTCAATGTTTTAGATCTTCCATGCTTTGTTTTTTTTTATCATAGAGAGGGTCAAGGCTTAGATGTTGCACCCGATATGGAATAAATTGGTAGTTTGGTACCTTCTTTCTTGTGGTGTTTAAAATATGTAACTGAGTTACTAGTTCAGAACTTGGTAGGAAATGATAAAAACGTATTGCATTATGCATGACAATACATTCATTCTTTTTTTTTCTGGTAATACTTTAGTTTCCATTTGAAGCAAGGTTCTGTATTGAGATTGATCGGGTTACATATTTTATATGGAAAATGTATGCAGGTACTCGATGCTACAGATGATGAACCATGGGGTCCTCATGGCACTGTATTGGCTGAAATAGCAGAGGCCACAAAAAAATTGTAATAATTGATTTTTACAAATATTTTCTTTTAACATTTTGTTTTGCGTCTCTCTTGTGGTATTGATATTTGAAAGATATCTGACACTTTATGCTAATTGGATGACCTACCATATCTTGTAGCTCTGAATTCCAGGTGGTCATGAATGTGCTTTGGACAAGATTGGGTGAGACTGGAAAGGACTGGCGCTATGTTTACAAGGTATGCATATTCTGGCTAGCCATCTGATACGGTGAAATTGCCAAGTACTTCAAAACCTTGTTGGCTTATGCTTTTCGTGCCTTGAACATCTGAAACCATTTCTCGACCAGGCATTGACCGTTATTGAGTATTTGATTTCTCATGGATCTGAACGTGCGGTTGATGACATAATAGAGCATACTTTCCAGATCTCTGTAAGGCCTGGATTCCTTTAATTTTCTTTGCAATGTTTTTTGGAGCAAACTTGAATTTCTCTAATATTCCACTTTTTCGATTTGTTTTGCATTTTGCAGTCCCTCACAAGTTTTGAATATGTTGAGCCAAGTGGGAAAGATATGGGAATTAATGTCCGAAAGAAAGCGGAAACTATAGTGGGACTTTTGAGTAATAAAGAGAAGATACAAGAAGCTAGGAACAAAGCTGCCTCAAACCGTGACAAGTAAGTTTTCCTTCAGGAAGTGAAATTCTATGCTTGCTTGTGTTACTTTCATTGACTAAACTGTGTCTGTTACTATTATTAGGTATGTTGGCCTGTCATCTAGTGGCATAACTTATAAGTCCGGTGCATCCTCATACAGTAGTGGTGGCTTCCATGGTGGCGGTGATGGGTATGGAGGCCTAAGTAGCAGAAGAGAAGTGACAGCTATAGAGACAGTTATAAAGAAAGCAACATATATGGAGAAAAAGTCTGATACAGATACCTATGTGAAGAGGCATCAAGGGACTGCAAGTGAGAACCAAGCGAATTCCTCTAAGGAGTCTAGACTTCATGGCTGGTTTATTTCTTACACTGTCCATTGTTATTTGAAAGTTATTTAATAACCTGGCTTTACATTGTCAGCTTTAAGTTGGAGAAAGTTTTTGGGCATATCCATTTTATTTGGTTATGAACTCCATAATTACTATTACATGCTGCAATGCCATATATTTGGTTATAGGAATCATGACGCTTTTGTTAATCCGTTTGTTTTAGATGATGGTTCCTTTTTTTTCACAATTCATAATACCTTGGATGATGAAGTTCATAGCACCTGCAACCCTTGCAGATATACCTATTCATTTTTTTGCAGCTGTCCCCTCGTCCTTTGCCCAAGGATTTCTTCAAAATCATATATCGTAATGTTTGTTTGCAGCAAGGACTCGAAGAAAAAATTCTCCTCAAAGTTGAGTGATTCAAATAAATATAGTCAAAGCACAAGCACCCCTTCAAATAATTATGATGATGAATTTGATGATTTTGATCCCCGGGGAACGTCCAATTCTAGTAAGAAAAAAATCATTCCTTGAGTTGAGAATGCTTCTTCATAGGTTTTCTTTTTATCTTTCTAACTTAATTTTAACATGTTATAAGTCCCGTTTCTGCTAGTTCATTTTGTCAACAGGCCTAGGGTTTGTTGAAATTATGCTCCTTACTCTTCACTCTTCAGTAATGGGTTTTTATGTAGGATTTGTTTTATAAATGCATTATTGATTATACTTTTGACAGAACCTGCGGCTGGAAGTTCTAAGCAAGTGGATCTGTTTGGGACTAGTTTGATGGATGACCTCTTTGATGCACCAGCATCAGTCCCTATGGAAAAGTCTGCTATGAATACTTATTCAGCAGATGTTGATCTATTTGCAGATGCGACTTTTGTGTCAGCACCAACCAAGGTGATTCACGAATCAAGTTCTCAGGCACAGGTTGATCTATTTGCTTCCCAGCCTTCCATTACTCCTGCAGCTTCTCCAACTGTTGACCTATTTGCTGCCAGTGATCCAGTTGTGCAACCAGACGTAAAGGTAGCTGACTATGAGCCCTTAAATGGTAGCATTATAATTTTCCTCTTGCTGTTACACTGGAAGTAATGGAATATTTTGTCATTTTTTAAACAGATAGAACTACCTTCAATTAACTTCATGTGTGACCCCCGTTTCTTTCCCTTTAATGGAAAAAAAAACCCACAGATAAAAACATTTCAGAACCTGAATTCTTAAAAATGCTTTTAGTTGAGCATGCATTGTGTATGTGTATTCATTAATTTGTCAGTATCATACAGAGGTATGACTAGTAATGATGGAGTTGGGCCATATCTTTTAAATCACGAGGAGCTGAAATCCACTTCCACTTTTCTCATTTGTGCAGGGACAGGTTGATTTATTTGCTTCCCAGCCTGCCATTACACCTGCAGCATCTCCAACTGTTGACCTCTTTTCAACTGCTGACCCTGTTGTGCAACCAACCATGGCAGCAAACATTGAGCCAGTAAATGCTAACATTGTTGATCCATTTGCTTCTGTTCCGCTGAATAATTTTGATGGATCTGACATTTTTGGTTCATTCATGACTCATTCTGATTCAGCTTCAAAAGAACAAAAACAAAACCCCAGTACTAATGATGGAAATGTAAATAACATGAGCACAAAGTCTTCACAAGACTCTAAAGGTTCTCAAATGAAGGATGTTTTTCAGGTTAAGTCTGGAATTTGGGCTGATTCACTAAGCCGCGGAATAATTGATCTTAATATATCTGCTCGTAAGTTATCCGACTCTAGTCTCTACTCTTGGTTATAAAATGTGTATTTTGAATCTTTTTGACTTTTGTATGTCATTGAAACCTTGCAGCCAAGAAGGTTTCACTGGCCGATGTAGGAATAGTTGGCGGATTGAATGATGTAGATGAAAGAGAGAAAGGGCCTCCAACTTCATTTTATATGGGGAGAGCAATGGGGAGTGGCTCTGGTGTGGTAAAACTGGGTTCAGTTCTACTACCGTAGCAGCTGGGGAAGATGATCTTTTCTCAACCTTGGCAGCCACCAACAGTATCAATTCGGGAGCTTTAAGTAGTTTTGTTACTTTCCCCTTGGCATCCATTTTCGTATTTGGGACTGATCCAACATGTGCATTTTGGTATGTTGTTTTTTTTTTTGTCGTTACACTCCCCACGAAGTCTGTTGTTCCAGTTAAAACATATGCATGCTAAGTTGTTGAGGTTTGATTCAAACTAAGCTGGACCATATTTTTGGTGACCGCACACTACCTTGAGATTAATTTACGGCCTGAATCAAGTTGTATAGTTTGTGTATCCGAGGATCATCCGAATGCCTGTCAGTCTATTGAACTTACGATTTATGAGACCGTTTCTCTATATTAAAAGCCTGTACTGTACTCGTGTTGAATAAATATTATTCTTAGTTTGTCTTTTTTACTTTCTAATGAGGTTATTGACACATCTTAGCACTCTTATGTTTGCTTCCTGATGTTCATGTAAAACTAGCAATCAAATAACTGTTTGCTGCCTGATGGAAACAACCCGATTACAATTAGCAGATCATGGGCAAAGAGGATTGTAAATGCGATCACGGTTGAGAATGATTTTGAAATAAATCTAAAATATACGTTCTGATCTGATTTTTTTGAAAAATCAAACTGAATTTTATCAGTTTTGATCAATTTTACTAATTGTTTTTCTACTTTTTATTACACTATATAATATTTATTTATTTTTAATTAATTTAACTATAAAATATTTTTTCTATTATAAAAATAAAATTTCTATTATAAGTTAAATAAAAAATAAAATTTAATTGAAGTCAATACTTTTGATCATTTAAATATGATTCTTATGTCCGAGAATTGAGTTTCACCGTACGTATATTCGCATATGGATTCTCATCTCACTTCTTTGTGTGGGTCAATGTTACAACTTAGAATGATTATTTCAGATTATGTATAGGTCAAAATTTCATTCGACTTTATTTATTATGTTGATTTTGATTGTCTTTGTATACGTTTCATATCAGTAAAATCATGATAATTGTAATTGAATCAAATGAAGTATACTTTAATAGGGTAAAGTATAAGAATAGTCCCTTGACTATAGAGCATTGCTTTATTGAGTCTTTCAACTATTAATATTGATGGGACTCAAAAAAGAAACATTCTATGGTAGAAGGATCATTTTGTAACTTTTAATAGCCGATGAACTCAATAAAACAATACTCTATAGTCAGAAGATCATTTATGTACTTTACACAATTTAATAAAATTGAATCAAACATTACTATTTAAAGGGTAAACTATACAAATTTCCCTTATATTTTTGGTTTGTTATTTTAATATCTTATGTTATTGATTCATTCGATTTTGATTCCTCAGTTGTTAACTCATGTTAATCTATTAACGGAAGTATGTGCCAATAATTAAAAATAATAATAACAAAATAATCATGTCATTCTTCTTCTTTTTCTAACATTTGTGACTCTTATATAGTTTAAGATGCCAAAATGAGATGATTGTTATCTCTAGAGATCTCGAGTATGATTGTTATCTAAGTGGTTAAAGTGATAATTATTATCTCTAGAGGTCTCGGGTATGACTGTTATCTAATTGGTTAAATGGATGATTGTTATTTGCAGAGATCCTGAGTTTGAGCATCAACAACTGTGAGATATTTAAGTGTTCATTGTCAAATGGTTAAGAGTCTTTAAAAGAGATTGTTTTAATATATTCAATATCAGTTTGAAGAAATCGAGCTTTTTAAAGAGGTGTAAGAAAAAGAAGAAGAATGATATATGGATTATTTTTTAAATTACCAACTCAGACTTTCGTTAATGGGTTAGCGGAAGTTAATGACCGAGGGATCAAAATCGAATGTATCGGTAACGTAAGATATTAAAACCACTTTTTTTAACCTTGACTAAAATCAGATGGCCTAAAAATATAAGAGATCATTCATATAATTCATTTTTATATAAATGGATACTTAATTATTATTATTCAATTCCATGTGGCATGTATTTAGGTTTTTTTTGGCTCAATAGGCTAATCAAGGAAAAATATTTGGGATATAAGCTTGACAAAAAATTATTTTGGGATATATGGCATTTTTCACAATACACAGGAAACTCGTCACATCGAGGTGACAAGTTTCGAAGGATATTATTTTTATATTTCATGTTTATTATTTAAGGTTCGAGGTGACAAGTTCTATTAAAATAATATTTTTTTACAGATATTTAATTTAAATAGAAAAATGAAAAAAAATCTTTAGAACTCGTCACATCGAGTTGAGGAGTTGTTTGTAGCCTGAATGCATTTGTTGTATTTATCTTTTTAATGTAAGGAGTTTGAACGTCATACTATATACTGAAAAGTTAAGTAGATTGTAATACATTTTGTTTAAAAAAACAACGAACTATAAATATTAAATTAAACCATTAAACATTACATTATGGAGACAAAAAAAAAAGAACTGTGAATATGACATTAAGAAAAAAAATAAACTTAAACGCTACGTTAATGACGTAAATAAAACTAACCTTACACACACCTAAACAGTAAATAAAATCATAAACATAACAATATTCTTTATGATGTTTTAATCTTCGTAATCAGTAGACACGTCAGAAGTAATATTAAGTTCTTCAATTCTCCATGTTTTTTCTTATTGTCGTTAACGTACAAATTGGAACCATGCTTCAGGGTCTCTATCATCTATGTTTGCTTCTTCATCATTTGTCTGATTTGGTGGGATGTTCGAGCTGGAAACAACATCCTCAACCGTACGAGCAAGGTCGAGATCAACGAACTCTACAAACAAATCAACATTAAACAAAGAATGATAGAAGTATGTCTCAATCATACCATCAAGATCGACATCATCCCTTAGATGAAACCTCGTGCATGATAGTGGAAATCTATAGTGTAACAATGATATTCTTCTACTGCTTCCGAGTTGAACCCTTGTTTATATATTGAACTTCAACTCGTCTAGTTGAATTTTTTTGAAACATATGGCTAAAGATTTGCAATAAAAAACTGTTGCAAGAATAGTTGTCATAATCGTAAATTTTTGTTTCGAATGAGTAATTTAGCTTTCACCTCACACATATTAATAAATTTATAAAAGGTTTATGATCTAAAAGGTTTCTTCCATGGTGCATTATTTTGCCTATGAGAAATGCACATTTTTTATATGAAGTGATAAATTACTACTAAAAAGTTTGTTGAAATGAGTTGATATATCACCAAAAAGTTGCTGAAGATAATTAATTGGACATTGAATTTTTTTTACCATGGTGCATTTTGCCTATGAGAAATGCACGTTTTTTTGATATTAAATGATATATCACCGCTGAAAAGTTTGCTAAAATAAGTTGATATATTACTGAAAAATTATTGAAGGTAATTAATTGGGCACTGAAAAGTTTCAGACATGGTGCATTATTTTGCCTATGAGAAATGTACGTTTTTATGATATGAAGTGATATATCATCACTAAAAAGTTTATCAAAATGAGTTGATATATCATTGAAAAGTTGCTTAAGATAATTAATTGGGCACAGAAAAGTTTCTACCATGGTGCATCATTTTGCCTATGAGAAATGCACGTTTTTTCTGATATTAAGTGATATATCACCACTGAAAAGTTTGCTGAAATGAGTTTATATATCACTGAAAAATTTCTTAAGATAATTAATTAAGCACTGAAAAGTTGACTTTTCTATTTATGGTTAACAATCAAAGAAGCAGTTCTTTGTACAACTGCATTGAACAAGCAAAACCTTTCTCAAACTATGCCTAACATATTTACACAGTGGTTCACTTAAATGGTCAAGTTATCCAAACTGATGATGGTGTTATGTTTATGTCAAGAAGTCCGTAAACATGATGTTCCCTTTAGATGTATCGCATCACCAAATGAAGTAGAAGATTGAAAGAATACTTGGAGCTCATGTTTAATGTTTGAGTTATTGACACATAATTTCAGAGAGTTCGCTCAAATATGGAGCAATGCAGATTGATGATGACGATGATGTAGCTGTTATAGTTGTTCTACATTAATCTTCAAATAATCATTTGATTGAGATATACACTAAAACTGTATATATTCCTACTTCCTCGATCGCTGCACATGTGACCGAAGAAGCAGGACCATCAGAAAATCGAGTTAACCTTGTTGAGCGATTCAGTGAAAGCCTCGCTAATTTCAGCGATGATGATGAAACTTTTATTCTACTACTGCTAAACGATGACACACCAATAGTTGATGATTCTGATATCACTGAGGCTGCTTCAGAGGGAAAAGGTTTTGATATAGAGGATCATGTTTGGGAGGCAGCGATTTCATATGGGCATGCACTACAGAAAGCTCCGTGAGGTAAGGCACATTCACCAACCCCTAGTTACCCCAAATATTACGAACCTAAATGTCTCACTATCATCATCTAGTTGCAACACATGACATAAACTATGATGCCATGAGAAATCCTAAGATTCTTGATATACCGAAGATATGTGCAATCCACTAGGGTACCTCGGACAATGGATCAATGGAGTTGGCAGCTGGGTCCCAGTTTGAAACTAAGAATGATGCCCAATTAGAAGTGAATAAGTTTATATCAGAGCTCATATAGAATTCAATATTGTGGAATTTGATCAGAAGACACATTTTGTTAAGTGTATAAACAACAATATCGACTGTAAGTGGATGATACGTGTCTCATACCTATAGTAAAAGATGTTGTGGCAAGTGACAAGGTTCCACTCCCAGAACAATTGTATGTTGAGCTCTTTGCACAAGATCACAAACACTTAGATTATGATGTAATATGTATATACATCAAGCTTTTGGTAGACAAAAATCCATGGATCCCAATTTCAATTATAGTGGCATCAATCCAAAATACGTTTGATTATATTTCGTCTTACTACAAGTCGTGGATAGAGAAAAGGAAAGCTACGACACTATTTTACAGCGATTGGAATCAGTTATACAATGAGCTCCCACATCTGTTGCACACAATGGAATTTTTCATCCAATGAACCATTATTCGCTCTTATACTGATCTTGCGACCACTTTTGATAGACATGTTATCCTAGGGAAGAGAGTTTTTGGAGGCTTTTCTAGGATTTCAAGTAATCCATTGAAGGTTTTCGTTAATGCAACAAATGGTTCAAGTGGAAGACATTTTTCTCTATGGAGTATACAAACACGTCTTGATGATAGTTGTTGCACAAGATGATGACATAACATTTTCCCCATTGTCTTTACCATTGTTAAAAATGAGTCAGAGGAAATGTGAAATTTCTTTTTGTCAAACTTTTGTTCTTATGTTATTATACAAGATGGGGTTTACATGATCTCAGACCATTCACTTGGGTTGTTGGCGACGATTGAGAGACCGGGAAGTATGTGTTTTCCTCCCCATGTATTTTTGGCATATTGCATACGTCATATTACATCCAATGCTATGACGAGGTTAAGAATAATAAGATCAAGAAAGAGATTATCAACATGGGTAACTTAATTTTTTTATTTTTCTTTATTTATGTTCTTCATTTATTATTGGACTTAAATATAACTTTTTATATGCTTTACTACAATCGAACTTCCGTGCAAGGCTGGAAAATCTGAGGAAATATGGAGAAAAGGTTTATAAGTTTGCAGTTGAAATACCTAGAGAAAGATGGTCACAAGCATATGACGACCAAGGTCGACGTTACAGTCATATGACAACCAATCTTGTAGAATGTATCAATTCAATTCTTAAAGAGACTAGACATCTTTGGTACAAGTATTGTTCGGGAGACTTACTTTAGATTGTGTAAAGTATGGGTAGACAAAGGTGTCCAAGTAGAGGCAATGATCAACGAAAGCAGAAAGCAATGAACAAAAATCAAACACATTCAACATCAATGTATGTTCATAATTTTGCCAAACTCGATTCTGATTACGTTTTCTAAGCACTTGTACGACCCTATGAGGGTGGGAATTCACATACACTGGTAATCTCAATAGAAGATGGTGTGATTGTGGTCGATTTCAAGCCTTCAGATACCCATACGCATACGCAGTTACTGCATGTATGCATGTGAATGTAGACTCATACATATACGCTGATGATAGTTACAATCTACATACTATATGTAACATATACAGTTGTGACTTTAAGTATTTCCCAAATGATGCATATTGGCCACCAACTATTTTTGAAGAATGGTTGCCCAATTCACAATTACAAAGGAAGTTGAGGGGTCATCCTGAATCTAGTTGAATTCATATTGATATGGATGATCATCATTGAGAGCAATATCTGTCAAAGCTTTATAGCCATTGTAGAGGTGAAAGCCACAACATGAAGCACTATCCACATATTCCAAAAAAAACATATGAATACAATTACAAAGGTTTTATTGGCCTGGTCGATAATTTATCAATATCAATAATTATCTTTACTTTTTACTTTTCATATATAATTACAAACTATTCATAAATAATGTTTAACTAAACTCAAATTCATACATATATATATATATATATATATACAACATTTTTCAACAAAATAAATAACTTTTCATCTTCATTTTCCTTTCAATTTTTACATTATTATTATTTTTTCATTCCTCTCAATAAGTCGTATGTTGCATTGGTTTGGTAAGTTTTCATTCTTTTTCTTCTTCTTATGTTGATCAAGAATCGAATTTATTGACTCTTTTACCGATTATTCATCTGAAGACGAGCTTGAATCCAAATCATCAATGCTATAGTAATCAGACCCAAAATGATCATTCGAAAAAATTATGAAATACACTTCCCACAAATGCATGATTTGGTTCTCATATAACTCTATCAACTCACCCAAATCCTATTTATAGTGAAATATTTTCAAAATGACCGTTGGACTCGTCATGCCAACATGATGAGTTCTACCGGCTACAAACCTATTTTTCCATTATTTTTAAATGACTATATATATAAACCTAAAGAACTCGTCACTTCAAGGTGATGAATTCCAAAGATTTTATTTTTCATTTTTCTATTTAAAGTAAATAACTGTCAAAAATATTATTTTAATAGAACTCGCCGTTTCGAAGTGATATATTTCTTAGAAATTAATTAAATAATAAAAACAAAATATAAAAAAATATCATTCAAAACTTATCGCATCGATTTGATGAATTTCCCGTGTATTTTAAAAAATATTATAGATCCCAAAATAATTTTATGAGAGTTCTATATCCCAATTTTTTTTTTCGTTATTGCCCCATTGAGCCTAAAAGAACCAGTGTTTAGTTGTTAATCTCGGCCGCGCTGGAGCCCAACAATAAAAGGAAAATGTCAAATCCTTGTAAAATGGATATATATCCCTTATATGAAAGGTGTCAAATCCTCGCAAACAATTTTCTAGTAGTGAAGGCCCATTTTTTCAATCCAGTCTACCGGAGAGAGTAAAAGAGAGAGGTTGTGTCTGACGCTGCTAATCAAGGCGAAAATGGTGAAGTTCATGCTGATGATCGCTGCCGACCTCGAAAACCTAACCAACCTCCAGCCTCAGGGCGGCTGCGACGATCATTCCTTCTCCTATCTCTTCAAAGTCTCTCTCTATCTCTCACTTTGCCTTGACTTTGCTTTTGTTCGCTTCAGCTGACCTCATTCCATTTTGATACGATTTTCACCTTTGAATTGCTTCGTTTATCTACTTTAAAAGAAGATTTGTTTCTCTTATTGTTGCTTGAGTCATCTCTGTTTGAATCGTTCTTTCACTTATAATGTCAGATTTTGAGTTGAAATCGCTTCTTCATTTTGCTTTTACTAATTTTGCCTGTTCTTTTCTTTCTTTTTGAAATTTTAGCTATTACTGATAAATTCTTCTAGTTACTGTATTTTCCGGTTCATAATATCTGTTAAATTTTGTTTAGATCTTCATCTACCTCCATTCATAGCTACTGCTATGCACGTACATTGACTTCCCTACCCGTTTATTTGTTCTACTCTTTTCAATTTCCTGTTTCTTTTTCCTTCAGAAAATCGCTTTAGTTTCATTTTCTGTTTTGAATATGTTTCTCATCATAGTAACGCGATCGTGGTTCCTTGTTCTTAAGGAACGGTAATGTTACATGATTATTGGTTTTTCTTCCATCATCTGTGGATGCCTATGTTTTAATGTCTCTTTGGATCCTTCCATGATTTTGTTGTTATACTCGTATGCTTTAGTATTCACAATAAGTTTAACTTAGTTTTCTTCCTCCTCTTTAATCACATCTTTATTTTATTTATATATTTTTTCAGTAATATTTGAAATCTTTAATCTATTTGCTTATTGGAGTTTCAGCTAAAATGTGAGAACTGCGGAGAGATGAGTCAGAAGGAAACATGTGTGAGCTTGGGCGATACTGTTCCTCTTCCACAGGGCAAGGCAAACACTAACCTCATTCAGAAGGTAATCTTGTATATTTGTATGTCCTTTAATATCAATTGATTTGAAGTGAAGGTTCATTACGATCTGTGGAACTTATATTTGTTTGGAGTGCTTAGAGCACGGAAGGGATGGGAGAGACAGACTATACACCATATAGTAACATTCTTACTGGGAAGTGGGAATTAGTCAATTTCTTATGAAATGCTTATTCATGTTTAATCTAGCATATCACTTTGGCTGCATATGTTTTTATTCTCATTTTTTAGGATGGTATATACGTGTTTAGTGTTCTTGGATTCTGTCTATTCAGAATATATATATATATATATATATATATTAGTGAGTTTAGTTGTAAAATGATTTTTTTTAACTCAAAAAGAAATTCCAAAAATGTTTACCATTAGATATTAAGAACCAAACCAATATTTAAGCAATCTTATTCTCGGTTTTTAGATGCATTATATTATTCCCTATGATCATGTGTTGTATGATGATTAGAAGCTTGAGGTGATTCTAAAATCAAGTTGTAACTCTGCATGGCTCTTTTCAGTTCACATGCTGTTATGTTGGTTGAGGTTTTCATTTATCTTTCCTTAAAGTTGCTTGTGGTTTAATAAGCTTTTCACTTAGAGAATCCTATTCTCTTTCCAGGGATCATTTGTCTTATATTTTATGCCTTAAAGTAGCCTGATGAGATCTTGAATGCAATCAAACTTCTGCAATTTTTGTGACATATTACTTGTACATTATCATCTATTTTTCTTTATCCATCAATGTATTTACCTCCACTTATTAATGGATGTTGGTGCCTTATTCTTTTCTTTCTTTCTCTAGTGCAAGCTTTGCTCAAGGGATGGGACTGTAACAATGATCTCAGGCAGAGGTAAACCACTGACCCAGGAAGAGAGTGAAGCAGGGAAATATGCACCTTTGATGCTTTTTGAATGCAGGGGTTATGAGCCTGTAGATTATTTGTTTGGTGATGGCTGGAAGGTTGAATCTGTAAGTCCTTGTTGTCAACCTTGATTTTATACTCCTATTTTGTAGCCGGAATTGTGACCATTTGCTGCAGGTAGGGATTCTGAATTCGAACAAGTCATTTGTTTTTAAAGATAAAAAATTAAAATGAAAAAGCCTGTCATGGACAATTAGACAAGTAAAAGTTCAGTACTAATTGAATGCATGGCAGATCCTGCTTAGTATTAGGCCTATCTTAATGTTGCTGAATTTCATTTTATGTAATTCCTCATTGGGGCGTCGATACTGAAGTTTTTCACTGTGTTCAAGAATTGTATAATTAGGCGTTTATAGAGTTACTTGCAGCCATAACCATGCGGAAATTGGTGGATCTTTTTTCTTTTAAAAAAATATTTTTGCGTCATTTGTTTGTGTAGCTGGAGGGGACTAAATTTGAAGGTGTCGACTTGTCTGGAGGTGATTTGCCGAGTATGATGAGAAGGGAGAGTGCCCGGTGATGATATCAAACCTCCGCTCGACTTTTGATGTGGTGAAGTAGTACTATTGGTACTCTCCCCTCCTGTTGGAAACATATTGTGGTAAATAAAACTGACACAGCTCATTCCGAGTGATGGAAATTCGTCACTGGTTTACATGTAGACTTGAAGCATATCCGAAAGCGGCTTAACATGAAATGTTCTGTTTGAAGTATATACTAATAGATAGATATACAATGATAGTGGTTTGAACCGATTGATGAATCACACTATGCTTGTGTCTTAGTGATTTTTTTTCTTTTTTTTGGGTATCGTGAAGATAATTTGCTTTTCTTTTTCTTTTTAAATAAAGGGGTCTCGTTAAAAAACCCTGGAACCAAAGCTCAATCAAATCTACGGAAGGTGAAAAAATTACCTACAGTTGTATTAGAATGAAATATTAAAAACGAAAATCGAAATCCGGAATCAACAAATGACCCAATATCAGCTAGTCTAAAAACTGAAACAACTTGGGTAAAATACAACGCTTACTGGATAAAGACGACTCTACTTAAAGATATTTAGGTTCAGTTTTGTTTTCAAATAATCACTTGATATTTTCGTTACTTCCTTTTCAGATCTGGAAAACCGGTTTTATGATTACTTCCCTCGAAACAAAACTGCGAGAAACTGTTCTGGTATGCTTGATTTCAGTATAATATTTATTACCATGGGGTATGGGTGAGAAAAATCATACTCGAATTGGTTTTCATTTGTAATTTCTGGAATTTTTTTTAATTCGAGTTGAGTTATAAAATAGAATTCGAATAATTTAAATATTAACTTAAATAACTAAATTTTTAGTAATTAGTAAATTAAATTTTAAATTTAAGTTGAACCCTTCAATTCAAATGCCGTTTTCTATCAAAATTTAATTAAATATTATAGAAGTTTAAAATATATATCTGAAATTTCATAATTTAGTTTCAAATCTTTATGTTGAAACATAATTTAAGTGGCTGAATATAGAACGGACGAACGTTAATGATAGAAAATATATATATTAAAAAAGACCAGGCTGGATAAAGGCTGACCCACGTTGCGTTATGAGTGTATAAAATTGAAGCTATTTTTAAATACCGTTAACATTGATGTTAAGTCGGAAAGAGAAATGAAATTGAATCACTCCTCCTAGGCCTAGGCCTAGGCCTGGGGCCTTCCTATATGTTTCCCGTGCAAAGAAACTTTGAAAAATCCATTACCTTCTCCATTTCTCTTGACTCTTCTTTTACATAAAATATTCTGTCCTCCTCTGCCTATTCTCTTTGACTGTTCTTCCGATATTGATGATGATCATACTAATTTGGCCGCCATTCAAGCACCTTAAATATAACTTAAAAAACTCCCTCTTTTAAACGTTTACAGGGTATATTCACCATCTTTTCCTACGGTTTCTGATTTGTAGGGAGGCAAAACACTTTCATCAGATTAGTTCTCTACCTTGATCTTGGCTTAGGGTCTTGATAGGAACACAGTATTCGTATTTTTTGGGTCAGGTTGTACACCTTTTCGTCTCTAGATCTGTAATTGTATGATTGTTTCTATTGTCAAAAAGAGTCGTTTAGGGATTTAAGATGCGAGAGCTTTTAGCTTACTGCATTTGATCGGATAACAGAGGACGTGGTTTCTGGATCTGTCCCCAGAAGTTGAATTCGGGTTTCCAGTGTTGTCTTGAAAGATGCTAACAAGAATTGGGTCATTAGAGGAAGGCAAGGATCTGGGGGTTACAACAAGGACAAACCAATATAAGAGTCTGCCATGGAGGGCACTCCAGTTATTTGGGTTCTTTATTGCTCTATGTATTACTTTTTCGATCATCACTATTTATGCGATCCGGCGTTCCGGTATTTATAGCGCGGAAACTACAGTGAAGTCTAATTTTGTGCCGTGTGATGAACAATCAAATAGTTTAGAAAATTGGAGGAAACCCCAACCAATTTGCTCCATTCAATGAGTGATAACGAGTTATTATGGAGGGCGTCTTTCGTGCCGCGAATAAAGAAGTACCCATTTAATAGACTTCCGAAGATTGCTTTTATGTTCTTGACCAAGGGGCCCTTGCCACTTGCTCCTCTTTGGGAGAGGTTTTTCAAGGGCCATGAAGGCCTTTATTCCATCTATATTCATTCACTGCCCTCCTTCAAGTCCGACTTCCCTCGTTCTTCGGTATTCTACCGGAGACAAATCCCAAGTCAAGTATGCTACTTAAACTCCCTTTCCTTATTTAATATTGTTTTCAATTTTTTTCTGAATTTTATTATTTGTTCCTCCGTGGCGTGGTTTTTGTGTGTTTTTACTTGCTTATGTAATTCATGATGAGTTAGTTCCGTTGCTTTGTTCTTATTTTTGTTTAGAATTTCTCATCTGCAGCTTCTTTGCTGTAAGTGAAAATAGCATGCTTGGGTACCTTCTAAAATTCTGTTTTCTGGGAATTCTTAGTGTTGGACAGGTTATAGCATGCTTATATAAATTATCAGAACTTTGGTTTTTGAAGGCTAAGCACGGAACTGCTGCCTTATGGCCTGTCATTCTTTATCTCTTTCTTTTCAACAACAGTTGGTCTGCCTTAAATTGCAGTTTTTGTTGTTTATAGGCATACATATACCCATATTGATAGCATGAGATATATTTGATTGTTCAACCTGGATCTTTCATTAACCTCAATTTATGAGATCTATCTAGTTATACTTTGTTTTTATTTTGTGCTTCAAACTGCAATATGGGTTTAAGACCCCTGATATTATATCAAACCTTGTTATCGATGTTCGTTGCAAGTAGAGAGAGGAAGTCATTTTCAATGTCATCTAAGAGTGCAGAAAACTGTATTGTTTATAGAGCTTTCAAGTTGTGTGTGGGAATGGGTACTTATTGTCAACTAAAGGTTTGCTTTACGACCAGGTAGGAGATGGACAATGTGTTGTGATTTGAATTTCACAGGATTCTTGCTGGGCTTTAAAATCATGGTCCTTAAGTGAAACTAGGTGTGAAAGAGGTGATTATTTGTTTGGGTTTCCATTGTAAGATAGAAGAATCTGATTAAGAAGGAAAAAGATGTAAAGTTCTGCCGGACATATCAGACTAGGACAGATATGA